TTTCGTTAAAATTAAAAAGCTTTATAACATTTAAGCATATACATACATAGCATTTTAAATGATTATATTAATTACTCAAAAAAAAATTTTATTTTGACACTTTTCACAAAAATGAACTTTTTTTTTTAATAAAAATTAAATTTGCGCTGTAAAAATTCATAAGATATACAATTCATGTCAATAGATATACAATTCATGTCAAATTTGCATTGCATACACGCATGTTTTCAATGTTTCGATTTTATATTTGATTTTTTCACTGATCCACATTTCATTATTCACCAATGAAAATCGTTTAGTGATTTGATTTAAATCCAGAAAGATATAAACAAAATTCAACGATTATTAGAATATTAGAATATTTTTATTATTAGAATATTTTTAAAAGATACGATTATTAGAATATTTTTAAAATACCTACATACGAGTTTATCAGTGAAATATTGAGAAAATGTTCAAGTAAGATTGAAAATAAATTACAAAATGGTGATTTTAGAAAAAACAAAACAGAAAAAACATAAGCCTAAAGAAAAAAACAACGAAATAAATAATGTATGATCATCGCAGTTATAAAAGATAAAAACATTGATCTTTATTGAATTTTATTCTCTCATTGGGATTTCCGATTTCATTGACGGCTCCTGAATAATCATAGTTGCTTACCGGAGATCTTATATTACGTTCGATCATTACGTTTAGAAAGTCGTTGAGAGTAATAATCAGAGTGGTGGGAAGAAACCTTTTTCAGTTTATTATTAGTTTAACGTCTGACATCTAGCTTCGTGGGTACACATTTTAAAAATAACTCATTAACATCATTCATAAATTATCGATAATAATACCAATATATCGATATATCGATGAATAGTTGCGAGATTATGCTCTCTTTGTTCTTGTCGTCCTTATTTTATTAATCATTCGTTTAGTATTTCTTTTGTTTCATTTATATATCCGGTTCTATAATATATACAGATTATGTGCTTCTACGTATTCTCTTTCTCTCTTTCTCTTTCTATACATATATATATATATATATATATATATATATATATATGTATATACATGTATGTATGTATATATATATATAAATATGTATATACATGTATGTATGTATATATGTATCTATTATCTAGATCTTATATAATATTTCCTATTATGTTTCTGTGTTTATTTACATTTTCTTTTTTGTAATATTACAATTGCTATAGTAAATATAAATATAGTTTTATTATTGTATAATTCTTTTATATGGTAATATTTATTATAATATTTATTATGTAATTTTTCTTATGAATGTTTAAGTATTTTTTATAAATGCGTTATATATATTTATTTATTTATTTGTTTTTATATTATACTTTAATATAATTCTAATATAACATTCTATTTTATTTTCTATATATTTTATTTTCTATATATTTTTTGTAATTTAATAAAAATCAATTTTCCTAGAAAATCTTATAACATCTACAATATTTACAGTTAATTTAATATACTAACCTTTTCTTAATCTTCCTAGTATCCATTTTCGTGGAAGAGCACGTTCAACGCTCATTCGTGCTAGAGAAGCTCGATACTGAGAGCAGTCATTGAACCTGACCTTGAAGAACCGGAACAATTTAGGTTTCGTAAGCGAGAATCGAGAACTCGAGATATAACTGCGTCTGTTATACCGATCGCAAAATTGTTATTAGTCGATTTTTAAATGTACATTATTTTTTTTTACAAGACCACCATTTTTAGATTATATTTATTCTCACTTCTTTCATATAATAATTCATAACGATGACATTATTTCGTGTATCTATTTTTAATGTTAATTATGCCAAAATATAGATTTAGCGATAGTATTTCTAGGAGACTTACCAGAAAATAATTCCTTCATTTACTTTTCTTCTGTTTTTTTACCATTTTTTGGAATTCTAACCGTAATTATTCATTAAGATTGTCTTATTAATAAATAAAAGTATAAATCATACAAGTTTTCTATTACATTCTATTACTGAGAAACATATATTCCTAACTTTAATATTTATATAAGTAAGAGAGATAGAGAAAGAGAAAAAGAGAGAGAGAAAGAGAGAGAGAGAGAGAAATATATAAATGATAAAATTAAATTAAATAAATAAAATATATTAATGAAACAAAAAAAAATAAAAATAATATTAATAATATTAATTCATAATGGATTAATAAATTATATATTAAATTTGTTAATACATAAACAATACGTATATATATATATATATATATATATATATATATATATTATAATAATAAAAAAAAAGAGAATCCCTACTCGAGTTTCGATTAATTTTCACTCTTCAGTTGTCTCTTGTGATCTGACAAAGAAGGCATTTCTGTTTCGAATTAATAAATCGACAGTTTCACCTATTGTCTTTCTTTGTAATAATTTCTTCTTCTTTTTTTCTTTCTGGAAAATTTACATATAATTTGTCAATTTTTCGTTTGGTACTGTCTTCTCTTTTATTTTCTTTTATCTTCTAATTTCATTAAATAAATAGTTGTTATAAACATTTTGAATAAAATCGATGAACTATTAATTACGTTATATATCAGCAAAAAGGTGAGAGAAAGAGAGAGAGAGAGAGGGGGGAGAGAGGGGGAGGGAGAGAGAGACGAAGAGAAAGAGAAAATTAGAGAGAGAAAGAAAGAGAAAAAGAAAACAAAGAGAATATTTTGTTTTTTTATTTTTTAAGAAAAAAGTAATAAGTTTTATAGAAAAATTCTTTAATAGTTTCTATCTCTATATTCTAGTATTCTATTTCTATCCTAGATCTTTTGAAAAATGTTTAAAGTAATATTTAAATAATATTGACAAAAAAAAGATTAAAAATACGCACGTATACATACACACACACACACATATCGAAAGTTGATTTTCTTTTAACATCGATTCATCCGCAAATAATGAATCTCCCACGACATTATCTTTTATGTGACGTTATATGTCTGTCTGTCATTTAAAATTCGAAGGACGTACATATGTATATACGTTAATGTAACTGGTATGTCGGTATATTCGCGATAGCCGGATATTCGTTTGAATGTTTGAGAAAGAAAAGATGCACCAATCTAACTTGTTCCTCGATGCAATTGTCACGCGAAAAAAAAACAGGTTCGCTTTTTCAAGATGAATTGAGATTTTAATCTCTATTCGATTCACGCGTTGATAAAATTTTATATTTTATACTTTTACGAGCGAGTTAAATAATTTTAGGGTTAATCGTTCAAATTTGTACTAATTTTGTATTAATTAATTAATTAATTGATTGATTGATCAATTTATTAAATGTTATGTCATACGTTAACCTTATTTTCATTTACATTTAATTATGATTAATTCTATTTTTTTTGTTTCTATTCTTTTTCGTTATTTATTAATTTAGATAATTATCGTATTTAATGTTAATGCTATAACGCTATAAATTAACGTAGAAAATAAAGATAAGTTATTAACTTTATAAGTTAAAATTATCGTTGAATATGAATTTATAATAATTATAATTGAATTGATTAATAGTTATTTTTAAAATGGTTAATGTTATTATTAAATAATGATAGAATTAATTATAAAAATATATGTAAAACTTATGGTGCGATAAAAACAAAAGGCGAGATTTTTTATTCTATAGTAAAATAAAAAAAGAATAGAAGAAGAAAAAACAACAAAGTTAAGTACAATCACGTAGAAATTAGTATTCTACCGTGACTTATTAATACAAAATATCTTCTTCATAAATCTGTATATTACTTCATTTAATTGTATATTATAATTATTATGTCTCGAATCGTCACCGATTAAAAAACGGCATTAATCTTGAATGAAGGTTTGCATAAATACTTACATTTATTTGCTTTTTTTCATACATTGGATATACTCATTTAAATTACAAACGAAGTGTGAATTTCGGCCTATAATTTTGGAAATTACGTTTATTATTTAACTAACTTGCTAATAATAGAATCATCGATATAAAATAAAAATTGACGTTATTTTTCACAAGATTTTTTCTGATTTAAATGAAACAATAAATAATAAAACGTAATATAAATTTGATTTTCTTTTTCTTTTTATTTTTTCATATCTAAATGAAAAAAAGAAAATTAAGAAAAAATGAACAAATAACAAAGAATACATTTCTTTGTTCATTTGATATTTTTTCTTCATTTCTTCCTTTTATATACATATATATATATATATATATATATATATATATATATATATTATTTTATATATACATTATTTTATATATATATATATATTTATATATATATATATTATATTTATATTATATATATATATATATTATATATATTATATTTATATATATATATATATTATATATATATATATTATTTTATATATATATATAAAATAATGTATATATATAATGTATATATAATATATATATTAAATATATATGTAATATATAATATATATATAAAAAATATATATATTTTTTCATCCAAAGAAACTTTTCTAAACATCGTCACAACAAAGAGAACCATCCATTTCTGTCGAGTAATAATTTCTCATTGCTTTCGATTAAATTATTATTGAACTTTATAATAAATGAAAAAAAAATCCCCACGAAAAAATGATACTTAGAAAAAATATAATATGGAAATGCCGCTTATCAAAATCAGAGATAATGTTTCTTCTAATCATCGACGGAGAGGGATACCCCAAGATTGTAAAATGTAAAACGCTTCGTTGAAGTGAGTGGACCTTGACAGTGTCGAGTCTACGTATGAGTTTCTACCAGTGAAAGTTTTGTCCGATCTATCGTATAGATTATCTCTCATTCTTTTTTTACAATTTAATTTATTAAAATATTTAGGATTACATGGTTATTGAGCTATTCGTTATTTAAAAATTCTCGTTTATAACAACGTTATAGCCTATCGTATCGATCCATCGAAAAATATCGGAAAGAAAAACGAGTCACGATTGAGATCGATTGGCAATTATTGCCAGACGTAAAATCCACTTGTCTGTCGTATATAAGATGTTGTCTCGTGCAAGAGCTTCAGTCGTTCTTGACTCTCTGACCATAGAGATACTCTCGTTCGTATAGAAGAAAAAAGAAATCCAAAAAGAAGAAGAAAAAAGAACCAAAACGAAACGAAAGAAATATCGCGAGTGATAACCAATCGAATCACAAAGTGAGAACACCATGAGATTGTTCAGTTTCGTGCCAGTGTTGGTACTACTTTTCATTCAAGATTCCTTTGCTAAACCTGGTGAGTTGTAAATTGTAACAATAATATTTAAAAAAAATTAATTTTTACATTAAACTATCACTGTTCAATACGAATTCTTACAAATTTTTTATTACAACGATGATAGTTACAAACGTGATTTCTATCAAATTATAAAAACTTTTTTAACACTTTTTTTTAATACTTACTTTTACTTTTTCGTTATTATGAAAGAAAATTTATTTGAAATCACTTTTCGTGTATATACGAAATATATTTTTTTCTATTAGGCATATAACATATAGTAATGTCTTTACATAATATATGTATATTTCTTTTTCTGCTTCGATTAGGTTTAATTGGTGATTTGACATCAGGTTTATCAAGTGGAAGTCTTTTGGATCCACTTGGACTATTTAGCAAAGGAGATAAGAGTCAAGCTTCTGCCAATAGCAATGCTCAATCATTAGGTACCAATTTGAATCTTGGACCATTAGGCCTGTCCGCCAATTTGGCATCATCCTCGGCATCAGCAACAGCCCATGGGGATGGTTCTGCATCTGCCAAAGCAAATTCTAATGCTCAAAGTTATGGTTATAATGGTGCCAGTGCTAACGCCAACGCCAACGCCAACGCCAATGCCAACGCCAACGCCAATGCTGGAGCTTCAGCCAATGGTGGTGCACAAGGTAAGAAAAAAAAAATCGTTTGTAAAATTTGACCATCTTATAGTATAATCATCAAAGATTTTGTCTGCGTTTTTTGGTTAAAACAAAAATGATCGAAAGATCGGTTAGAAAATATTTTCGTTATCCATAATTCTTCTATCCAAATTAGGCTATGATGGTTCTTCGAGTCTTTACAACGATGGATCTTTAAATAACAATGATATCACTGGCAACTATAATTTAAGACCAAGTGAACCTTATTCGAACAATATCTTTCCTTCGAATGGACAATACGGCGGTTACGATGGTTCCTCATATAATTCTGGAAATGCTCAGTCAAATGCTAATGCAAATGCTGATGCATATAGTGGTAGCAATGGAGGTACTTTGCTTCCATCAAAACCAAACCCATCTTTGGGACCAACTTATGTCGCTGATTATGGCCCATCTTATCCTCAATACCAAGGAAATAGTGGTAGTACTTCTGGAAATTCAAATGCATATTCTAGTGCCAATGCAAATGCAAATGCTAATGTTAATTCTGGTAGGACTGAGTATGGATATAACATACCCGAATCAATTCCTATAAATATCCCACAAACGGTTCAACGACCACAACCTACCTTACATCAGAAACCTGTAATAATAAATCAATCTCCACCAAACCCGATAATTCGGCAACCTATACAAAATTCAAATCCTCATTCCAGTGCCAGTGCAAATGCAAATGCTAATGCTAATGCTAATAAGATTGATCGTGGATATATAGTACCAGTAATCGAATCCATTCCTATAAACGTTCCGCAAAATATTCAACGACCACAGCCTGTCCAACAAAGACCTGTAATAATAACTCGACCTCCACCAAACCCAATACATCAACAACCAAGACCGATTATTCATAGTGTTCCTGAGTTACATAATTCAGCAACACTGCCAGTGGTTATCGTCGAAGGTCCGCAACAACAACCAATAAGCAGACCTGGTGTCTATCCTCAACATCGACCTCATTATCATCATCCACATAGACCAAAGCAACAACCTATTGAAATCTTCGTTATCGATGGTGACAGCATTCCGACTCAAGCTCAAGGTGAGCTTCGTTATCGAGTTTGAAAGATGTCTTGTTCTTCTTCATTGATATGTATATGTATATATATATATATATAACATGTATGTACATATATACATATCTGTATATATATGTATTCAAAAAGGGTTAAAATGTTAATTGGGATGAACCTCAAACATATTGCAAGAAAAATTTATATGTATTGCTGTTTCTTTCTTGCTAACTTTCCATAAGGAGATCTGACAATTTGTGAAATATCTCATGTATTTAATTCGTCCTGAAGTGGACGAATCTGCATACTCCACTAAAATGCAGAAAACTTCCGCTTGAAAATTGTGGCCTTGTAACCGTTATAACTAAACAGAAATATGACAAAATACTCTTCCATTTTATTTACCATTTACATACTGTGCATCTGATTTACTTACTAGGTTTATGTTATGCATTTTTGTTCGTTCATGCTTAATTATGTCTGATTGTTGTTCTTTGTAAAGATATGAATGTATGTCTACCATAAAAAATATTAACAATTTTTTATTTTTTTCAGGTGGATATCATGGCAATTATGGTGCAAATTCAGGCGGATCCGGGCAATATAATGGAAATTATGGTTCTGGAACAGGTCATAGAAGAGGAAATCCTTTCCTAAATGGTGGATCAACTAGTAATGCCAATGCCGCAGCTAATGCCAATGCAAATGCTAATGCTAATGCCAATGCTGCTGGTCAGTCTGGATCACTTGGATATAATGGTGGAGGTGAATATCTTGGTAATATCGGAGCAAACAATCCTTTCCTTACTGGATCTGGAAGTGCTGGAGCAAATGCAAATGCAAATGCAAATGCAAATGCAAATGCAAATGCTAATGCTAATGCTCAGGGACACGGTCAAGGACAAATTGGAGCACAGAATCCTTTCTTAACTGGTGGATCAAGTAATCTTGGTGGATATGGCAGTCTTGGTGGATCTAGCAATCTTCAAACAGGGACAGGACATTATCAAGGACATGCTCAAGGAATACCTACCCAAATTCCATCAAAACCAAGTTGTGGTGGTTCTGGATGTAACAACGGTCCTTCGATAGTAATAATTGATCAAAACAAACCTAAAGGTATACCAACGACTCTACCAAAAGAAACAAATTCTGGATATTATGGTGGAAGCCAAGCAGGAAGTTCAGCGAATGCTAATACTGGAAGTTATGCTGGTACACAAAATCAACCTACCAAAGGTGCCCCAATCATTTTAAATGGACCTAATTATGGTGGTCAGCCTAAATATCCAAGTACCGGAGAATCAGGATTCTTGGGTGGAAACTATGGAAGTGGTAGCGGCTCTGCCGGATCCAATGCAAATGCTATTTCATCGGCTAATGCTGGAAGTTCTGGATCTGGATCTGGATCAGGTGGTTATGGTGGGCAGAGTAACGTACCACTTAAAGGAAGTCCTATTTTCGGTCTTGGAGGATCTGGTTCTGGAAACTTGGGTGGTTATGGAAGCGGTAGTGGCTCGGCAGGGTCCAATGCAAATGCTATTTCATCGGCTAATGCTGGAAGTTCTGGATCTGGAACAGGTAGTTATGGTGGGCAGAGTAACGTACCACTTAAAGGAAGTCCTATTTTGGGTCTTGGAGGATCTGGTTCAGGAAACTTAGGTGGTTATGGAAGCGGTAGTGGGTCGGCAGGATCCAATGCAAATGCTATTTCATCGGCTAATGCTGGAAGTTCTGGATCTGGAACAGGTGGTTACAATGGACAAGGTGGATATGGCGGAGGATATGGCGGTGGTTCATCAGGTAGTTCTGGATCTGGAAGTGGAGGATTCGGTGGAAGTATTGGCGGAGGTGCTTTAGGAGGAAGTTCAGGATCTGGAAATGGAGGATTCGGTGGAAGTACTGGTGGAGGTGCTTTAGGAGGAAGTTCTGGATCTGGAAGTGGAGGATTCGGTGGAAGTATTGGCGGAGGTGCTTTAGGAGGAAGTTCAGGATCTGGAAGTGGAGGATTCGGTGGAAGTACTGGTGGAGGTGCTTTAGGAGGAAGTTCTGGATCTGGAAGTGGAGGATTCGGTGGAAGTATTGGCGGAGGTGCTTTAGGAGGAAGTTCAGGATCTGGAAGTGGAGGATTCGGTGGTAGTACTGGTGGAGGTGCTTTAGGAGGAAGTTCTGGATCTGGAAGTGGAGGATTCGGTGGAAGTATTGGCGGAGGTGCTTTAGGAGGAAGTTCTGGATCTGGAGGATCAGGATTCGGTGGAAGTACTGGTGGAGGTGCTTTAGGAGGAAGTTCTGGATCTGGAAGTGGAGGATTCGGTGGAAGTAATGGTGGAGGTGCTTTTGGTGGAAACGCTGGATCTGGAGGCTCTGGATTTGGTGGTGGTTCTGCCGGATCGAGTGCCAGTGCTAATGCCAATGCAAATTCTGGCTCTTCCGGTGGATTTGGTGGTTATGGAAGTGGCAACATAAAGGGATCTGGATCAGGCTTCGGAGGATTTGATGGACAAGGTGGTTCAAGCGGCTACGGTGGAAGTCATGGAGGTTCAGGAAGTTTAGGTGGAGGATACGGTTCTTCTGGATCAAACGCTGTTGCCAATGCCGGTGCTAGTGCCAATGCTGGAAGTTCAGGTGGTTCAAGAGAATCAGGATATGGTGGGCCAAGCATATTAGGAGGTTATGGAAATAAAGGATACGGTGGAGGATCAGGTATTTTATGATTTTTCTCTAATTTCTACTAAACAATAATAAATAAATTCTCGATTGAAAATTAAAGTTACTCTAGAATATAGATTTCTTTAACACTTTTGATCAAAACTTTAACTCTCTCTCTCTCTCTCTCTCTCTCTCTCTCTCTCTCTCTCTCTCTCTCTCTCTCTTTCTCTCTTTCCCTCTCTTTCTCTCTTTCTCTCTTTCTCTCTTATTTTCTTTATTTCTTTCTTTGTTTAATTCGTCCTAACGGTAACAAACTAACAATAACTTCATTTCATTCATTCAGCGGCCGAGCTTACGAGAATCGACCGTCATTCCGTGTCAGACGACCTGACCAAATCATCGTCTACTGCTTTCGTCGAAGCTGTATCTACGGGTCTTATCGTAATTAAATGATTCATCTGTTCCCTTCAACAGGATCAAGCGCTTATTCCGATGCTAACTCTTCTGCTAGTGCTGGTGGATCGTCCCATGCAACTTCAAATGCAAAATCAAGTGCATTTTCGAGTGCCGGTGGATCGGCCAATGCTAAAGCCAATGCTGAGGCATCCAGTAGTGCTACAGGATTCGGTTCGAAATCATCGGCATCGAGTCATGCATCTGCTACTGCTGATACCAGTGACATGCTCGTATTCGTGGACTGACCTCAACATTCCAACGACGATTTATCAGGCATTCGATAAAACGATTCCTATATGGTTCATTTTCGCAAAGTGACCGAAGTTATTAATTGCACGATTCAACTTCTTTTTCTTTGTTTTGTTTCTTCTTTTTTTTTTTTGGTATTCTAGCAATTTTTATAATTCTGCGAGTAACTTTTGCCATTAATGTTGTAATACAATTGTTTTTTGTAAATACCTTTATTCGATTTTTGTGCTTTTTTATTACTTTTTTTTTTTTATATTGAATTATGTCACATTATTTCCAATTGTAAACAATATATAAGATGTGCCGAGTAAAATTTTTTTTTATAATTTGTTTTCATTTTTCATTCGAAGATATTGCAAAAAAAAAGATCGTGTTTGGTAGGTCCATACTTTTTAATGGATATAGGAATCGAGTAATATGATATAATACTCGGATTATACAATATCTGCTTAACTTCCGATAAAACACGTGACTAATTGTTGATAATGTCGAATCGAAGATAATAGGAACCATTTGATCACGTTAGAATTAAACTTTGTACAAAACCAGTATAGTAGTTTGTAATACGTGTAACCAGGCATGTCATTGTGAACTATAATTGTATTGTTCATTTCTGTGTCTCCCTCGAGCTATTTGTCGATATTGTTAATCTTTAATATCTAATATTAAATTAGATATATATCCTCGCTTAGATAAATTATTTTGATTTAGAAGTGACCATAACACATTGATAAAACGAAAATTATTTCTTATATTTTATGTTATTCCCTCAAAATCATAGGATTCACATAAAATTATTTAGAATGGAGTGTTTAGAAAAAAAAGAACTAGAAAAAAGAAAAATACAGTATTTTTATATTCATTTGTTATTAATCTTTTATGAAACGTATACACGCACTCATTTACGCACCTACGTGATTTTCAGTGTAACATGTCAGAAATTTAATTGTGATTTGTTTTTTAACTATGAATATTATGAGATTAGGATGAGAAAGATATAAATATATGTATATATATATATATATATATATATATATATATATATATATATATATATATATATGGAAGATAAAACAACTATATATATATATATATATGGAAGATAAAACAACTGTAATCAACGTTCAATTTGTCCTAAGGATTATTGTGCGATTTTTTTTCTTTTTTTTTTTTGTAATTCATATATAATTACCAAGAATTACTTTAACATCAAACATTATTCGTTTCGGATTTTCCTTGAAATTCTCCTCTATTATCAACTTCTTATCTTGTATGCACTTGACGTAAACACTCTTTCATTCTCGTCTCTCTTACATAATATTTTACTGCGCGTCTTATTTGTAAGCACTAAAAATTTGAAATAAAATTTACGATACATTCGATACACTCGGATTGTCATTAAAAAAAAAATTCTTCGCTTGATTATTTCTTTAAAATTGATCTTTTCTATTCTTTATTTCTAAAACGATAAGTATTAGAATCTATGATTATAATAAGATTAGATAACCGATAGAAATAATATTTGGTTTTGCAAAAGATTTACGCACATATGCACGTATATGTTTTATATATTTGATATACCATATTATATGAACTTGTAAGTTATTAAATTTATTTAAATAGCTCTATAAAAAATTTTCAAATTCTTCGATATTAGTAAACATTTATGTATTTATATTGATATATAGATATATAAACATATAATTATAATTATAAAATAATTATCATAGAGATTTGTTTTCACGTAAATAATCATGATTTGTATTAGTCTTTCGTTAAAATTATACTATATATAATTCATTTTATTTATTATCCGTCCGATCTAGAAAACAAGATTCTAATCATCTTCAATAGTATTCTAATAACACATTAGAATGATTTATCTATCTTGATTCACGTTTTCTTTACAATCGAATATAAGTAATAATAGTAATAATAATATTCTAACGAGACATTAGAGTAATCCAGTAATCTCGATCTTTTTATTCAATTAACAAATTAGTCAACGTGTTTATTTAATTACCTAATACAAAATTGTAATTATAAAAACAATGGAACGAAAACAATCTTGATTCTTTTATATCAATAATTATCTGTTTGATGTTGGAATCAATGAACAATTTCATTTACCTCTATGACAATATTCACATTCAAAAAGTATGCTAAAAGAAAATATTCTCTCTATATCAATAATATGAATTTTTTTATTGGTTCTCAATAACATAAAAATACAGATACAAGTGTTATTATCTCATTGTTTATTTTTACGCAGAAAGAGATTAGAAGAGATGAAAGAACGAAAGGAAAAAAAAATGTAGAAAGAGAGAGAGAGAGAGAGAGAGAGAGAGGGAGAGAAAGAATCATAATTGCAAAAGATTGTAATCATAAAAGTGATGTAACGAAAACAATCATAATTATTTCATACAATTATTTGTCTGATTTTCTAATCAATAATTTTGATCTTTTTATTTAATTAATAAATTAGTCAACGTGTTTATCTAATTATCTAATACAATATTATAATGATAAAAATAATAGGACGAAAATAATTGTAATTCTTCTATACCAGTAATTATCTGTTTAATTTTCAAATCAATGAACAACTTTATTTATCTCTACGACAATATTCTCATTCACAAAGTATGCTAAAAGAAAGTCTTTTCTCTTGGTATACTACCAATAATATATATCTTTTATATTATGTCTCCATTTGGTCGAGTTAAATGACAGAAATGTATATATACATGTCGTTCTTTTATTGTTTACTTATATTCAGAAAGATGATAGCAGAGATAAATGAATGAAAGGAAAAGATGAAAAGAAAGAGAAAGAGAACGAGTTTTATATATATAATATTATATATATATATATTCTTTTTTGATTGATCCTCTAATTAACATAATTCGAGGACATAAAAATAAAGATAAAAATCCGTATCGTTCCGAATCAATTAAAAATTTCATTTATCTATAAAACAATCTTCTGCTTCTAAGAAAAAACCTTAAAAAAGCATTCTCTTTATATTCTCTCTCTCTATACCAATAATATATGTATATATATAGATATATCTTTTTGTTAATCCTTTAACTGGTCGAGCGGTCGAGTTCGAGGATATAAAAATACAGGTTTAAATCCGTGTCATTTCGAATCAATCAATAATTTCATTTATCTGTGAAACAGTCTCTTAATTCTAAAAAAAATCTAAAAAAAAGCATTCTGTTTCCATATACCGATAATATATGTATGTGTGGGTATATATATTTTTGTTGATTCTCTAGTTGAATTCGAGGGCATAAAAAAACTAAAAAGCTAATATAAACCCGTCTCGTTTCGAATCAAACAACAATTTCATATATTTGTAAAACAGTCCTCTAATTCAAAGAAGCTCTAAAAAGCCTTCTCTGTATTTATACCAATATCTATCTCACATATATATATATATATATATATATATATATATATATATATATATATATATGTGAGATAAAAGGTCCAGAGCTCATGTGATTCCAGAGTCATGTATGTGTGCGTATGTGAGATATGCCGATCGACAGTTGAACGAAGAGATGGAAGGTTCCAGAATTAGTTAGTTATGTATGTGTATGTGTGTGTGAGTGTGAGATATGCCGATGGAAGATTCTAGAATTAATTAGTCATGTGTTTGTATGAGGTAGGTCGATCGGTAGTCAAAGAGAGTAGAGTATAATTTATCTTTTGAGAGGGACGTTTGTTTATGAAAAAAAAAGAAGTTAGTTAAAGAAGGAGAGTTAGCGAGTAAAGAGCTTTAAGAAAATTGCGTATCCTCCTGACTGGACCAGATTTTGAGTTAATCAATAAGAATAATGAAAAGAATAGCGAGAAACGCCTTAAGTAGGCCAGAGTTCTAGAAAATAGTTATAGTTTCCAAGTTGTTACATCCTAATAATAATTAATAATAATTGTTAATAAAGTTCGTGTTAACAAAATTATGTGATTGTACTTGTTAATTCGTATCTACCAGGTAAGTTTTCAAAAAATATCTTATACACACACACATATATATCTTTTTGTTGATTCTTTAGTTGGTCGAGTTCAAGAACATAGAAATATAGACATAACTATGTATCGTTCTCTCATTGTTTATTTATATAGAAAAAGAGATCAGAATAGGTGAAGTAAATAAAAAAAAAGGAAAAAGTGTTGTAAGTGCAACAAATCGTAATCATAAAAATGATGTAATGATAATAATTCTAATTCTCTTATACCAACAATTATTTGCTTAATTCTTTAATTAATCTACAATTTCATTTATCCCTAAGACAATATTCTAAATAATTTATTCTAATTCATTTTAAGTATTCTAAAAAGGTCTCTTCGTACATTAATATATATATTTTTGTTTGCTGATCCTAAAATTGATTAACGAGTTCGAAGAAACATGGAACTATAGAAATACGTTTCATTATTTCATTATTTATTTATATACCGAAAGAGAGGCAGAAGAGGTAAGAAAAAAGAATGGAAAAAAGAAAGAATTCTAAATGCAAAAAATTGTAATCATAAAAATGATGTAATGATAAAAATCCAAATCTCTCGTACCAATAATAATTTGTCTAATTTTTTAATCAATCAACAATTTCATTTATCTCTTAGACAAAATATTCTAATTCATAAAGTATTGTAAAAAAAGTCTTCTCTCTTGGTATACTATTAATAATATATATATATATCTTTTTGTTGGTCCTCCAGTTGGTCAAGTTCGAGAACATAGAAATATAGATATATATGACGTTCTCTCGTTGTTTATTTATATGCAGGAAGAAACAAGGAGATGTGAAAGAAAGAAAGAAAGAAAAAAAGAAAAAGGGAAAAAGAGAAAGAGAGAAACAGACAGACAGACAGACAGACAGAGAGAGAGAGAGAGAGAGAGAGAGAGAGAGAGAGAGAGAGAGAGAGAGAGAGAAAGAAAGAAAGACAGACAGAGAAAAAAAGAGAGAGTCGTAAATGCACGTTGGCATTGTACCATTGAGGCGAAATCCTTTTGGGTACGTGTGAAAAAGAATGGACAAAGGGAAAATGAATCTTCTTGGTTCTCAGGCGGTCTAACAAGAGTAGAAGCAACAGCAGCGGCGGCAACGACAGCGACAGCAGCAACATCAGCAGACGGCCAGACGCATATACGGATTAACTCGTTTTAAAGAGATCCAGACCGTGTGTTCGGTCACGGTACTCGCACTCGATCTTACGATTCAAGCCAGTTATGCAAGGATGCACCACCGGTTTTTCGTTTTAAAATCGCACCTACACATTCTCTCTTTCGTGCCCGTACTACTACCAGCTACTCTTTCCAACATGCTTTTTAAACAACGCTCTGGAGGACATTTAAAGATGTCGGTCTTTAATATGACCCAAAGTTACTTTGGAACGAATTATTGCTTAGCTCTCGTTTATTTTTCTTTTTTTCTTTCGTTTCTTATTGTTTTTTTTCCCTCGAGATCAGAAAATTTAAAGGAAGAGTTAGTAATTTGAAAAAAATTGTATTAGAAATTAAAATACTTTTAAAATAAAAATTTCGGATCTTTTAAAATTAAAATTTCGGATTGAATCGTCATTCGTTTATATTTATTTAAAATGTATCTTTCAATTTAGCTTCTTTTTACGATAAAAAAGATATTGTACCAAGATAACGTTTAAAATATCATATTTAACATATCATTCTCTCGCAAAAATTTGTAAAAATATGTATATATATATGTATAGATTATATAATAACTTATTTTTTCTTATTAATCTTATCAAGGTCATTATGATCATCATTATTACTAGGATTAATATCGTAAGCGATTTTGGTTGTTTACAAACATTCTACGTCACTATTTATAAGTAAATATAATGCATAGTTAAGACAAGAGAGAAACCACCCTCTTCTTTTGAGATTTCCTGAGAAGCAAGTTTCCTTTGTACCGAAACCAGTCACCAGATGTTCTTCAAAATAAAACCAACGAAACAACGCCAAGTTCGATGCTATGAGAGAAAGAGAAGGAGAAAAAGAGAGAGAGTGAGAAAGAGAGAGAGAGAGTAGTAGTAGTAGAATCTTTGGAAGAAGGGAAGAAAGAAGGAGAGAAGAAGAAGATAAAGAGGGTTGGGGTTTAACAGCACAAAGGGAAGCCAAAAGGAGGAGGACTTCTAAAAAGCAAAGAGGTAAAATGGAGATCCAAAAAGTTCCGTGCAATGACCGGACGATCTGCACACGCGATCTTTTCAGTGCCGCAATCTCCGTTTTCTGATACCCTTCTCTTCTTCATTCAATTAAATCGACTGAAAGATTCGCGATAACGCGAAAGATTCGAAATAATATTTTATACAAATAATTTAATTGATTCTTTTCATCATTATTGAATTA